TGTATTTGATTGCGTTCCATTCCACGCGTGTTGTATGCATGCATTGCTCTTGAAATGAGTGTGCTATGAGAGTCAAAACCAGATTCGAGCCTAATCAAGCCTCCTTTTATTTGGTGGTACTTCTCGTTCCCCCTCTCTCTCAAATCCTATCCTAAAGCCATCAATAATTTCCATTTAACTTCCTACACTCATTCTTCCTCTTCAGAGTTTTGGCTGCTTTGTTTATTTCTATCGCCTCCCTAATCTTTCACTTACTAGTATAGTCCCCATATCCAGCTAAGCTTTTGGCATTAGACCAATCTATCTGGTGTCCTGCGCGAGCCATATGTTTCATCAATTACGATTTTTGAACCCACAGACCTTTGCCGACTGTTTTGTGTTCAGACAACCTCTTATATATGGGCCTATAGGAGGGGAAATGGAGAAGTGGAAGCTGAACATGCGTCTCCAATGAGATGCTAGGACTCCGAATTCATATGGTCTGCCCCAAATATATAAAGATAGAGAGTTACTTCGAATTATTGTGAAGTCGGGATTTGCTGCTAAGTTTTATGTTAAGTCTGTGTATACTAACATTTATGTGGAATATGCCTTACAGGCCCTGTAATCTACGCTAGACTATCACACGGAGATTTTAGTGAGTACGAAGTTCTGTAAAGTGTCAGCAATGATACTGATCAAACTGGCGATGTACTGTACATATTTTACCTTAAATGGTAAAATGTACGAACCAACTTACGAACCCCTTCCATTCGCCTCTTCAAACTAAATGTAAGGTACTCCAACTGCACACCATTTTTGTCTTTAGTCTTGAGACTTTCAAGTAGCTTTGTTAAAAAGTAGTTATTTTTCGAAGGCATTTTTGCTTAAAAGCTAAAATTTACGCAATATTCTATTTTGAGTTTGGATTATAACAATGTCTACGCTCCTTCTCACAGGTGAAATTTATGCCCGAGACTAACGATCTCCAGATAGTCTCTTGCTCAAGTGGATCTGACGTACGTCTGACTCAGCTGACTCCGGCTGGTGCCAGTGAACGGCTGAAGCGGGGCGAGAATCGGCTTCTTGTACGCCACAGAGCTCCTTGCCACAAACTTGCCTTGCCAGCTGGAGAACCGACATTGGTGTTGTCTTGTGGTGAAGACGGCCGGGTCTTCTCAATTGATCTCCGTCGACCCAGGCCAGATAAGTAAATCCCGGGGTACAAAACCTCATTTAGTTATTATCAAGTAGTTGTTTTAGCTGATCTAATTTGTGTTGGCTCCTAGACGGATCAAACTCTCAGATATGTCTGAGGTCAGATCGATATAACTCAAAAAGCCACATTTTTTCATCATTCAGTTAATTGTTTAGAGTGTATCTAACCCCTAAGAATAATTTCATGCAGTGTTGAACATATATATTCGAAATAAATTTTGATTTATTTACTTTATGTGCAAGGAAAAGGTACTTGATTTAAATGAACGCATTTGCCCGGGTTTCATTAATATATCATGATCGCCGATAGCTATTGACTTTCGTCTATTACTTTTGAAATTGAGGTTGTACAGGAAAATCTAGCCATTTACCTAAAATGCGGGCCATAATATCACTTTCAAAGCCCTATTCAGACTTGAGTATTGGTCGCAGTCTCCTTTATTTTTAATACTGTTGGCTCGACCTCGTTTTCGCAACTTGGTTAGAGCGTCAGGGAGACCTTGTGGAATATACCTAGTCCTTTGTCCTCTACCATAGTATTCATAATTTCCAGCATCGGACCCTCGACTTGATACATTCCCAAACGTTTTGGTAGCATCGTCAGTGAAAGGTGCTATCGTTAGTACAGAGTTACAACTTATCAAAGTTTGTACTCGTGTTCTTAGGCTAATCACCCACTTAGTAACCTGCGCCTAAGGTTCTATGTTCTGTATACCCTATTGTATTCATCTGCATGCATCCATTAATTTAGCTATTTTGTATAATATAAAATTCTAATTAAATTTTTTGTTTTAACAACTTGCCTTTTGCTCACCTTATATTTTTGTTTGTTTACCTTTTTTTCTTCTCAACTTTGTTTGTTAGGCTTTATACATGTCTTTTATTTCAGCTATTTTTTAAGCATATAAAATGTAATAAAATTAATGCTCACATTTATTTGCTGTCTTTTTCATTTAAATATATTTGTTTTATCTAGGCTTCTGTGTATGCCCTTGAGTTCATTTTACTCAATCTCCTGTAATCCAATTAGGCCTTATGAGTTCTGCGTTTGTGGCAGCTCAGAAGCTTGTGTCAGGTGATTACTTCGTTACGCCATCATTCATTATACTTGACCATAATTTTTCTCCAATGCATATATATATATATTTTTATATTTAAATTTGGGTTTGGGGGCTCTTTACCTTCTTATCCATGCTGGGTTGCTATTCAAGTAGTATGTCTAGGCTCATTATTTACTATTTATGTTCA